ACGTCCTGCTCCCACTGGGCCAGCTGCTGCTCGCGCTGCCGCAGGAACTCCTCGTGGGACTTCTGCTCCAGCGCCGCCCGCTTCAGCTCCTCCTCACGGCACCGCAGCTCCTGCACGGACACACGCGTGAACAAGAGCCGTGCATGCAGACAAAGACGCTCACAAGCGGCGGATAGTTGTGCACGCACAAGAGTCACACACGCGCAGGCAACAGGCTCACAGTCCTGCACGCACAAGAGTCACACACTCGCGCGCAACAGGCTCACAGTCCTCCACGCACAAGAGTCACACACTCGCACGCAACAGGCTCACAGTCGTGCCCACACAAGCGTCGCACACCACACACAACAGGCTCACAGTCGTGCACACACAAGAGACACACGCGCAGGCAACAGGCTCACAGTCGTGCACGCACAAGGGTCACACATGCGCACGCAACAGGCTCGCAGTCGTGCACGCACAAGAGTCACACATGCACATGTAACAGGCTCACAGTCGTGCACACACAAGAGTCACACACGTGCAGGCAACAGGCTCACAGTCGTGCACGCACAAGAGTCTCACACACACACACAAAACTGGCTCACAGTCGTGCACACACAAGAGTCACACATGCACGCACAACAGCTACACAGTTGTGTACACACAAAAGTCACACACACACACAGTGGTGCACGCAGACACACACGCCCAACAAGCACACAATCGTGCCCACACAAGAGCCACACACACACCCTCAGGCACGCAGTCGTGCACACAGACAGACCCAGCCCCCCCCCCCTCCCCGGGATGGACCTTCTCCTTGGCGCGCAGCTCGTCGAACATGCCCTGGATCTCCTCCTTCCAGTCCTCCTGCAGCGAGTGGAAGGAGTCCTGGGGCATCTCCTCCAGCACCTGCTGCTCTAGGGCGGTCAGCTGGCTCAGGATGGAGGCGAAGCTGGGCCGGCGGTGGGGGTCCTGGTCCCAGCACTCTGCCACAGACGCCCAAGTCAAACACGGGGCGCTCTCGAGAAGGCTCCGGCGCCTCTCCTCCTCCTCCTTCTCCTCCTCATTCTCCCCAGCATGCACAAGGCAACCCGACACACAGCCACCAGCCCCACAAGGGGACCAGAGATCAGCTCGGGCTGTCCCACGCAACCAGTCTCTGACCGCCCTTTCATTCCCAACAGTATCAATAGTGAACTCAATAGTACAAAATCGGACTTTTAAGGCAGGAAGCGACTCGTTCTCATCTAAAAGGGTGCAATGTGAAACTGCTTAGATTAGATTACGTCTTCAAGTTTCGTTAAAACATATGGACACAGCCGCAGGGTATCATGACACACGAGTCAAATCCATTTTAACAAATGTGATTTCTTAACGTTTCCATTTTAAGGCTAAAACAGTCATTCTGGTGGCTTTTGAAGACGGGATTTTTTTTTTACTTTTCACACCAACACACTTGAAATACCGGTGTGCACATGTTGTTGTTTTTTTTGGAAAACAGTCCCCTGGTGAAACACTGCCCGATTTTGATTACTGAGGATAAAAACGCAACATCTGCGATCCCTCATTTCCCCCCCCCAGAGGAAGCAGGGCCAGCCGACGCGCAGCCACCAGTCCAGCTGTCCCGCGAGGAGATCGCGGATCTGCACAGTCGACACCCCGGGCTGGACCACACAACCAGTCTCTGATCTCCCTTTCACATCCCTTCAGATCAGAAAAACGGCACCCCAAAAAAATAGACTTCGCCTTTCCTGGTGACCCCCCATCCTCT